GCAAGCCCGTACCCTCCAGTTCCTCCGTCGGGCTCTCTGGTGGCCGTCCATGAGGAAGGACGTCCGCGAGTTCACAGCTGCGTGTGATGTGTGTGCTCGATCCAAGTCCTCCAACCGACCCGGCGCTGGAGAGTTGCAGCCTCTCCCTGTGCCCAAGCGGCCGTGGTCACACATCGGGCTGGACTTTGTCACGGGACTGCCGGCGGTCGACCACCTGGACACTATATTGACTATCACGGACCGTTTCTCCAAGGCCGTGCACTTAGTGGCCCTGGCCGGCCTCCCCACGGCCAAGAGGACGGCCGAACTGCTCCTGGAACAGGTGGTGCGGCTCCATGGTTTCCCTCAGGACGTGGTTTCCGACCGAGGACCCCAGTTCGTCTCACGCTTCTGGAAAGCGTTCTGTCGCCTGGTCGGTGCTTCCACCAGTCTGTCCTCTGGATACCACCCGCAGACAAACGGTCAGACAGAGAGAGCTAACCAGCAGCTTGGACGCTACCTGCGCTGCTTCGCTTCGTCCCAGCCGACCACCTGGCCCCGCTTTCTCCTGTGGGCGGAGCTGTCACACAACCTCCAGACCTCCTCAGCCACGAGTCTGTCTCCCTTCGAGACCTGTTACGGTTATCAGCCACCTCTGTTTGATCATCAGGTGCCCGAGGTGGAGGTCCCTGCTGCCCAGACGCTGGTCCGCCGCTGTCGACTCGCCTGGATCCGGGCCCGTGCGGCCATCACCCGGGCCAACACGGAGTATGCCCGTCAGCATCGCCGCCGCCACCGGCCTGGACCCGTCTTCCGGTCTGGCGACCAGGTGTGGCTCTCCTCCGCTAACCTGAGGATGCCGGCTGGCTCCCGGAAGCTCACTCCTCGCTTCCTGGGTCCGTTCCCCGTCCTTAAGGTCATCAATCCTGTCACCTGCCGTCTGCGCCTCCCGGCTACTCTCCGGATCCACCCGGTCTTTCACGTCTCCCAGCTTAAGCCGGTGATCTCCTCTCCTCTCCACCCTCCACCGGTCCGGGTGCCTCCGCCCCGCGGTGTTGAGGCGGATCGCACCTACACGGTCCGCAGGATTCTGGACGCTCGACGCCGGGGACGAGGTTGGCAGTACCTCGTGGATTGGGAGGGGTACGGGCCTGAGGAACGCTCTTGGGAGCCCACGAGCTCGTTTGTCGACCCTACCCTGCTGACTGACTTCTGGGCCCGCCGTCCTGGGACTTCGGGAGCCGTCCCTCGAGGGGGGGGTCCTGTCACGAACTCCTCCAGCTGACTGCATTCCATTCATTCCTGCCACCAACGTGGCGACTGACGTCATCACGCCGGCACTACTTAAGGAAGTGCCGGCGTTTCATTCATTGCTCAGTCATCGTTTCTCACCAGACTTTGTATCGAGTCTCCAGGCTTACCAGCCCTCAAAACACTCATACTACACCTACAGGAGATAACCACGCCGGCTATCTCCGTCTCTCCGCGTCTGGGCAACAGAACTCTCAGTCACGCTTCAGATCTGCCAACGAACCTGACACATATAAAGATGATGAAAATGAAAAATAATGGTACAGTGAGCATAGAGGACATGAACTGTTGCTTTTGGGTGTAATTAAACATAATTGAAATAGTAAAACGTTATTTTTAAAGCACCCTTTAAAACAGTTGTCCCAAAGTAACGAACAGAAGAGCACAGCAATAAAAACATGACATGGCAGTAAATCAGTGTTTAATTAAAACAACAAAGATAAGTTTTGTATTGGCTTTTGAAGAAGCTCAACTGTGTCTGCAGACTTTAAAGTACAGTCCTGGTGCTGCTGAGAAGCTCTTTGACATAAGTTTTCAGGCTTTTATAACCGCAATCATCACGCCTTGGTCACATGACAGCAGCGATCTGTTAGGGACATACAGATGAAAAATATATCTGATGTATGCCAGTGTTTGACCACTCAAGGCTTTAACTGGAAGCTCTCATTATCTACTCTTGAGCGGAGGAGGAGCTAATTGAGCTAGAAATGGAGCGGTGTTATGTGAGAAAATGTTGGTGATTTGGCCAGACGTCCATTTTGCACAACCTTCAGATTGGCCAGTCAAGTTTTATGCACACGGGTGAATAATGAGTTACAGTTATCTAAAAATTGTAAAAACAATTTCCTGTTGGGATTGAGAAATAATGCTACTTGTGTTTCTTATCTGATATAAAGTTGAGGGAATCAAAGTCTGAACATGACCATCTAAAATGAAACCACAGTGAAAGTTTACCCTGAGGTTCCTGAAGGAGAACTTTGTGTAGGAGGCTAGAGGACCAAGAGGGTCCATCAGGGATGTCCGATATTATTGGTCTATTATCGATATTGGCATTAGAATGTGATATCGGTATTGGTTTCTTGCTTGTTTTTAAATTTTTTTTTACATACCATTAATTTACATCGAACTCTTCGGCTTCCTCTAATCTCTCTCGAAATGTCAAAATATGACAGATCTGAGGCTTAGTTTTGGAGATATTTTTGTTTTATTTGGCACAACTTTGGAGTAATTAGTATTTTTCCTTGTGTAGAGAGGATCTGCTGTCTTTAGGGCATGCAGCTATGTGTAGCTAGCCAGCTAGCAAACAACCTAAACCAACACAAGAATCTTCAGTGAAAGCTTGCTTTTCTTAACTGAAGATGTTTCTAAATGTTTTATTAACATAACTACAATATACAGAATAAAAATTTGAATTAATGACCAACACACACATCTTAGCATAGTGCTTAGCCTAGCTTAGCCTGTATATGCTCCCACCGCTTACATTTTATCAACTAAATAACTTCAACACACACCCAAACATTCCCTAAACACCTCAAAAGTTACAAAGACAAATGTTCTCCATGGCACCAACATATAATGCAAGGCTGTGTTATTTGTCAGCCGTTTGCTTCCATGTAAGCACCAGGAACAGTGATAGGTCGGAGTTCAGAGCACTCAGTCTGTCACTTTTACAAACAATTATATTGTTTGTAAAAGTGATGTTTCACTTTGATCAGTTTTAATGCATTTACTGGTGCTATTAGTTAACTTATTAAGCAAACTTTTTCCCATCATGAACTTAATAATTACCTTTGGTCTAAAGGTGTCACAGAGTGTTTGTCAGGATTATCTCAGGAAGAATGTCATTCAGCTGCTGTTGGAGACTAATTAAAATATGACGTTATTTCTATTACTAACCTAAATTGAAGTAGTTGTCAACTTGTGCTCATAATGTTTAAAGCTTAAGCATGCATGATAGGAGATATGTGATGTTAGTAACCTACATTTTTACTTTTGTCATTAAAGGGGACCCTGCTTATATCTGTATCGGTTTTTATTGGTGTCAGAAACTAAGAATTAGATAATATCCGTTATAGATTTTTTAAAAGTCGACATTGGACATCTCTAGTTTCCGTTAGTAGTTCTGCCTGATTTTCTGGAGCACAAACAGGGTTTTCCCTGTTTTCTTAGTTGGAGAAACATTTTAGCCCTCTAACTTTTCACACAGTCTAAGCACTTATCTAAATTTAGAGTCCTTAAAAGGCTTAAAAATACATATAAATGTCATCTGCATAACAAATGTTTTGAAGGGGATCATGTGAACAAGAAATAGATAGGGCCTCGAAACAGAACCCTGAGTGACACCCTAACAAAGGTGACGAAGACTTAAGCATTCAGCTAGTCAAACTAACAGGAGTGAATTGGAGTATCTGGTGAAAGCACACACATGCATTGGGAGAACATGCTAACTCCATGCAGAAAGGTTGCTGCTGGGAATTGAACCTCCAACCTTGTTGCTGCAATTAGCTGTCGTCGTCGTCTTCCTCCGTTTATCCGGGTCGCGGGGGCAGCATCCCAACTAGGGAGCTCCACACCGTCCTCTCCCCAACCACCTCCACCAGCTCCTCCGGCAGGACCCCAAGGCGTTCCCGGACCAGATTGGAGATGTAACCTCTCCAACGTGTCCTGGGTCGACCCGGGGGCCTCCTGCCGGCAGGACATGCCCGAAACACCTCCCCAGGGAGGCGTCCAGGAGGCATCGTGACCAGATGTCCAAACCACCTCAACTGACTCCTTTCGATCCGGAGGAGCAGCGGTTCTACTCCGAGTCCCTCCCGAATGTCCGAGCTCCTCACCCTATCTCTAAGACTGAGCCCGGCCACCCTACGGAGGAAACTCATTTTGGCCGCTTGTATCCGTGATCTCGTTCTTTCGGTCATTACCCAAAGCTCATGACCATAGGTGAGGATTGGGACGTAGATCGACCGGTAAATCGAGAGCCTGGCTTTCTGGCTCAGCTCCCTCTTCACCACGACAGATCGGCTCCGCGTCCGCATCACTGCAGACGCCGAACCAATCCGCCTGTCGATCTCCCGATCCCTCCTACCCTCACTCGTGAACAAGACCCCGAGATACTTAAACTCCTCCACTTGAGGTAGGACCTCTCCCCCGACCCAGAGTTGGCAAACCACCCTTTTACGGTCGAGAACCATGGTCTCAGATTTGGAGGTGCTGATCCTCATCCCAGCCGCTTCACACTCGGCCGCGAACCTACACAGCAAGAGCTGAAGGTCAGAGCTGGATGAAGCTAGGAGGACCACATCATCTGCAATAAGCAGAGACGAGATTCTCCTGCCACCAAACTCGACACACTCCACACCACGGCTGCGCCTAGAAATTCAGCCCATCAAGGTAATGAACAGAACCGGTGACAAAGGGCAGCCCTGGCGGAGTCCAACCCTCACCGGGAACAGGTCCGACTTACTATGTAACCTAAATGAACAATGGGTTTCTGATAAAAAATTAGGTTGATGTTGATGCACCACTCGTTAGTTAAATCTATGTCCAAAGTCTTGTCAAATCTTGTCAAATTGCCTGTGGTCTTTTTGGTACATTAGTGTGGGTCAGAGTGAAGGGACAGGACACCCTGACACAAAAGATAAATGTTTTTTGCTCTACCAAAATAAAAGTACTAATTATTTTATTTTTTTGTTTGTTTGTTCCTTCAGTCAATGGCACAGAAGAAGTTGGGGCCCTGCAGACCATCGACATTAACAACCCCAAGACATCTAAGTGGGTCCTGCGTGACTTGGAGCCTCTGAGCAAATATAAGCTGTATCTTCGCTCCTGCACCACAAAGGGCTGTGGGCCTGTTGTCAGTGAGGAGTGCACCACTGACTTGGAGACAAGTGAGTTACAGACAGTTCCAGGAAGGCCATTTAAACAGACTGGGAGGGGAAGAATCGCTGGTTTTACTCACCAATATGAACATGACATTAAGCTGCAGCAGTTTGATAAAATCAGCCAAGGTGGTGTTTTTTCTGGATAAACAATACATTTAGCGGCAGTAGAGGTTTTCATTTGTCACTGCCATAAGGAGGCGAGTGCTTATCGATTGGACAGAGCGTCAGAACCATCGTCTCAGAATGAACCAGGCTCTGAACAAAAACTAAAACAGTCTTCATAACAATGCAGATTGTAACATCCTGCTTTCACCTGCGTGTTTTCTAAGCAAAGTGCAGCAGCAGACAAATACACCTGCAGTGGTTTTAACACAAGAAAAGGAGTGTACAGGAGCTCATTATGTATGGATCACTGTGTGTTTACTGAAGTAATCGTCATAATCACAGAAAAAGACTTAATTAGCCTCTGGCTGTTTATTTGTTTGGTCACAGGCCACCTTTAATTTTGCTGAGTTGTTATAGGTGTGTGTGTGTGTGTGTGTGTGTGTGTGTGTGTGTGTGTGTGTGTGTATGTGTGTGTGTGTGTGTGTGTGTGTGTGTGTGTGTGTGTGTGTGTGTGTGTGTGTGTGTGTGTGTGTGTGTGAGGTTTAATTTCAGTTTGTGTGAACAGCACACATCAGTGTAATTTCTGTCTGCCTTCACTATACTGAATACCACATTGCTTCCTGGTTTTAGCTTTCTTATGCAGCATGTTTCATAAATTATTCTGTGAATGTGTGTGTCTGCTTTGCCATACAACGCTTGTCCCTTGTGTCTTTTTTTTCTTTCTGTCATTGTTTTCCTGCAGCTTCTACTTTGGTGCCCAGTCTTGACCTCAGTATGTGTATTCATGCTAATGCAGAAAGTGGCATGTCATACCAACACACGCGAGGCTAATCCTCTAAATAAGGACTTGTGATAACATGTCTTTAAATATGGTATCTCACTGGGCTGCAATCGTTGGTGAAATGTTACAAATGACATTTGCTAAATGGTTTCAAAATCTCTTGAAGTGTTTTCTAATGTTTTCGTGAGTCCTTGCTCAGATGTAGGAGAGACTTGTACAGTCCAGATATTTGCAAGATCAGCAAAACTAAGTCGAACTGATCGGGGGACATGGTGTATGGGATTCCATAGGTGCCTTGTAGTTTTGTGTTTACGGTTCAGTATGGGTGTAGGATTTTAAACACATTCCCTTTTAGTATGCACAACAGAGGATTTCACATGCATAGATAATGACCCATTTGGCTTGCCAAAATTTCATATATGACTGTCTCTCTCACTGCCATTGCTCATTTATCACATGTGAATGGTAGATGGTAAATGCCCTGAATTTGTATAGCACCTCATTAGCCCCCCACCCCCCCGCCATATAAAGCAGCCGCAGCGCCGCTACCTGCATATAAACCGTGTCGCGGACACCCCCATGTTGAAATGACGCTATGCATTACGGGGCTCCCAGGGGCAGATAAGAGTTGGTCTCTCTCCGAGATTCATTATGAATTTAACAATGATTACTGCCTGATGACATTTTCCCTTAATCTGCAAAGCTCACTGGAAGGACACAAACCGAGGACAATATTTTCCTGATATAGGGATTATTACTCAAGTAAGGGTACAAAAGTATCTGATTAGAAGGCTACTTGAGTACTGAGTATCATCTGATCTAATATTTTTAAAATGATGACATCAAACAGACATAAAATAAGAAATTATGGGCAAATATTGGTATTTTAAAGACTAAAGGGGAAAAGTGTAAACAAATAAAAAACATAATTACAAAATAACAAATTTTGGGCAAAATTTAGACACAAACTGAGGACAATATTTTCCTGATATACAGGGTTTATGTCAGGGTTTCTGAAAATGTAACACGTTTAACAAAATACCGCGATAATACCGAAAACCGTGATAATTTTGGTCACAATAACCGTGAGGTTAAATTTTCACACCGTAACAACCCTACTGTCCTGGGGCACACTTAGAGAGGCGAGGCCTGCCATACGGGCACCACAGGTCCCTCCGACCACCACCAGCAAGGCAAGGTGGGTTAAGTGTCTTCCTCAAGGACACAACAACAGAATTCTCTAGTGGGAGTCGGTATCAGGACCTGCAACCTTCCGATTACTGGACAACCCGCTCTACCTCCTTAGCTACTGCTGTTCCATAAAGTACTAATGATTTTGTGCAGACAGCTTTAAATAATACATGTCCCTAACAAACAGCACAATGTAATGCTCCCCTTTGGAAATAGGTGAAATACCAAATGAGAAGTGTTCTCAAAATGTTGTTTGCCCACTGTGCTTTAGTTATATGGCACATTTCTTACACAGAGGCAATTCAATATGCTTTCCATTAGCACAGATAGCATGACTATTAAAATCAATGTGACAGCACAACTGAAATACACACATAAATTTCAGATAAAAAAAGACAAATGTGAGCAGTTACAGTGTCGGAAGTGCAGTATAAGACACAGTCATTCAAAGGCTGATGAGAATGTTTTCATTTTTGATGTAAAAGTTACTAGAGTTGGGGCAGATGTATTCTGGCCCCATGCCATTGAGTGATCTATAAACAAGTTGAAGCATTTCAAAATGGGTTCTGTAGTGTACTGGTTACCAGTGTAGGGATTTAAGAACACGAGTGATGTGCTCGGTTCTCTCGGTTCTTGTTAAGACTCTAGCAGCAGCATTCTGAATAAGCTGCAGTTGCTTCACAGCTTTTTTAGGTAGACCAGTCAAAAGACCATTGCAATAGTCCAGCCTGTTGGAGATGAACACATGAATGAGTTTCTCTATGTCGTGTCTGGACATGAGACCTCAGAGTCGTGCTGTTTGATGAAGATGATAAAACGCTGATCTGGTAATAGCCTTAATGTGACCAGTGAAGCTCAGGTCTGAATCAGTTACGACACCCAAGACTTCTAACCTGCTTCTCTAGTCACCAGAAGTCCAGTGACACATAAGCGGCAGTTGGGTCAGACTTAACATGACAAAATATAAACTAATTAATACATTTTAAACAAGGTACAACATCGTTAAGACACTTTGGGGATTCTTTTATAGTTTTAATACATTCAAAATTGCCAAACATACCGATCCATTTTAACTGAGTATTTGGATATTTTATCACAAGTTAGTGTCTCCATCCGGTCACCAGCAATCAACCCAGTGAGATACTGGCCTTATTAGTGCCACCCTGTTTTAGTCCACTCTGTTGGAATGATATGTTCCTTTATTTTAGAAGAGTTGAGGTTAAAGTTGCATGCTTTAGACGGAGCTGTTAGAACAGATGTGCATGCTGTAGCCCAGATGTGTTTTATTTTCCCTTCACAGAGGCTCTAAAATCCCAGCTCCTCTGCTGATAGTTGACCCTGTCGACCGTTTGCTCTCGGTGCCTCCTTTCATTAGAAAATCTCAACTTCCTCTCACAGTAAAAGTTTGTGGCTCCCTCTCTAGTAGCGGTGGTAATGAGTGAGCTAATTATAAATTCATATTAATCTTTGGCTCGTTAGTGCCTGTAAACGAATGTTGACTTTTATTCTAGCAACAGCAGAAAGCATCCTCAAACTCCAGCTGGGGTGATAAGTTAGGACTGAAGAGCCAAGCTGGGGAGGATCATCAGACGTTCCACCAGAAAAGGACACAAACAAGCAGGACTTGTAGTTTAGGAATGGTAGTTGAGTAGTCACTAACGTTAGCTGACAGTAGCATGCGTGCTGACACTAGAGCGTAGCCCCTAAGCTCTGATTCCATTTGATAACCACAAGGTCTGTTTTTCTTTTAGGTGAGTCAGCTTCCACCCCAGCTCCGAGCACGCCAAAGCCCCACAAGACCAAACCCACTCGGTCCAGCATAGGTAGAAGCGCAGCCCGCTCTGACACAACTCATGTGAAATGCAAATTAAAATCCAGAATCTGAAACCAGACAGAGTGGGATGGCCACAAGTCTTGTTGTTTACTGGCTGAGTTCCAGTAAATCAGTTTAAAAACGGAATTCTTTTTTTATTCTATGTTGGTTTAAGTATAGCAACAAGGTAGCAGCTCTTTTTACTGTTAGCAGGGTTTAATATCTTTGGTGCACCACAGGGAAATCAAGGCTCTGGGATCTATATCCCCAACAGCAGTCACTTGAACAGGACAAATATGTCTAATTGTAAGTGATTGATTTGTTGGGCTGCAGCCCCGCCTGAACACAGCAGCATATTGACCCGGCAGTCACCTGAGATTTCCGTGTAGGCTTTAACTGGATAAACACTAGGAAGGAAATAGGAAAAACACTTTAGGTGCAGCCTTCTTAAGTGAGAGTAGGCAGAGATGTCCAGGGCTGAGCTGGGAGGAGCGAGCTCACGCTGAGAGGAAGAAGTTTCCAGAACACAGAGATAAGTGGGAGCTGATGAACGCTCGTAGATGAGTAGATTTCCTCGCCTTCCTTTTTACCTCCTGACTCTGAGGGGCGTCTTCCAGGGCGCCTGCTGGTTGAGCAGCTGCTTCGTGCAGCGTTTAATAGCAGGCTGAGGAAAGCGGTGACAGAACACGGCAGCCGGCTCGGGGGATATTTTTAGTTTGCAGCCTCTGACAGTCGAAGTGATCACACAGTTTCAGCAGCTGGAGTCGCCATAGTTACCCACTGATCAATCAGCATTAGTGCAGGAGCGTCGGCTGCAGTGGCTGGGATGGGCGGACCAGACGCAGGTGTCTCTAAGAACTAAATTATCCCCTGAGCCAACGGAGCTGCTGAGCGGAAGGTTTGCATGTTTGATTTTTAAAAGGTTCTTGGATCAGCTCTGAACATGTCTGTTTCCCTCACTTATGATGCACATCTCTGTCTGACTTCTAGGTCTTTTCATTTAGAGTCAGAAGAAGGATAAACACAGCATCTAGTTTAGTACGACTCCTCATGAAGAACGATTAATAAAGCCCAACAATTATTGTGTAGCTGACTTGGGAATAAGCCGAGTGTAACAAAGAGCTGAATTCTTACTGAGACTGGTTAATGGATTTATTTTATTTTATATTTATTGAGTTGAAACAGATTTCAATCAAAGTGTTCCAACCAATCCTTTCTTGGTTCTAAAAAAGATTCAGGATGAGACCATTTTTAAAAGGGTTTTCTTTTGAAATTCCCAAAATAAACAAATAAACAAACCACCATTGGAAGCGGAACAAACCAATTTCTTCTTTTTTTTAACATTTTAATTGCGAAAACTGCATTTAAGAATTACTTTTTTTAAATTTTAGACCTTGAAGACATGGAAATGTATGCCACCATTAGCATTAAATCATTTCAGTATTTATTTTCTGGTGAGACCCAAGCCTGGGTCCGGAAGGTTGAGCTTTTGTTCTGAAAGGAGCTGCTGTCGCTGGTTGGTGTAGCAACTGGATTTTTCAGCTTGTCGTTGTTCTTTCAGTTAAAGAGTTAGATCAGGATTGGCCACTCCGTCTCTTTCTCTGGAACGCTTTGAACTGGCGTTAGAGCTGACGTGGCGCAGTTTTATACCTCGTATTTTATGGTTTATTATCGAATGAAAAATGACCAAACACCATCAGAAGCACGCCTCCGTCAGATCTGTAAGATTCTGATTGGATCAGTGAAAGTAATGTGTCATGTCTTTTTAACACTACGTGAGATCAGTCCTGTTGGAACACTTAAAGTCACAGTACCTTTATATTCTATAGGATTATAATAAAGTAATTAATATTTTGATTTCACAGATCGGTCACATCTTATTTATTGACTAACACTTTGATGGATTAGCTTTATTAAAATAGAGTTCTTTGATTAATTAAAAGAAAAGAGTTCATTCTTCTTTCTTCTGTTGAGCTGAAAATAAGCAGGTTAGAAGGAATGCATGAGACCTTGAGACTTATGTCATGCAGACTAGTCTTGAGCAAAGAAGGGAAAAATAAGAGTCATTCCGTTCTGTTACATTTACATTGTGCTAGAATAATAGGCACCTTCCAGTTCTTGCTAATTATAATTAGTAACATATTAATGTTGTTTTTCAAGTCATAACTAGAAAGAAAATTGTTGCTGAATTATAACTTTCATGTGTTTTCATCATCTTGAAATAAAGTCTCATTTCTGTAATTTAATGAGAAATGACGAATCAAGTGAATCATTTGCTTTGAGGTAGTTTTAACAATAATGCTGATTCAAATGACTTCAACTTACACACGATTTAAAAAGTGAGGGTTGATTATTCTGAAGATCTAATTATTACATTTCCGATGGTTTGTTTTTCCAGTGGAGGGGAAGTTTCGGAAGCACACCACCTATTAACAAACCCTGTTGTTCATGTCTGGCTTTGGCTCTGAAAGCAAAAAGGAGAGGTGTCAGCGTCTAAAATAAGTGTCCTAATTAAAACAGCTATGCCTATTCGACTGAGTTTGGATGGGCAGACAGATAAAGTGTTGAGGTAAAATACAGAAGTTTAATCTGGAGAAATCTGAGGCATCATCAATGTTTAAGATTTCATGTAAAATGTTTTGAGTTTGACTGTCAACCTGTCCAGTGTGTACCTCGCTTGTTCGCCCAGAGATTGTAGGAGATAGGTCCCCCGCGACCCTGCATGGATGAGCGGGTATAGACGATGGATGGATGTTTGAATTTGTACATTTGTTTCTATATATCTGGCTACTAATCACCGGGTGTTTCTCAGTGTCAAGGAACCTCGTCTTGATGTCTTGGTCCCGCCCCGGTTGCCTAGGAGATACGTCATCAGGAACCAATGTCTGGCCTAGCAAGACATCACCTTGAATATGTGCTAATAGTTTCTAAAAACCAGCCGTTTCTTTAAGAAAACTCTTTTAGTTTCGGTAAAGAAAGGTTAAAGATGTTTTTGTTTGTAAAGGTTGTTTATCTGTGGCCCTCTTAAATGAAAGGTTAATTGCAAAAGTTACTCGTTTACTCAGATTTTGAGATTTTAAATAAAATCCACCCAGTAGCTCATGAGATAATTTGCTAAGAATCCAGAGCTAAACAACTTAAAGTAACACTAAACAGCTTCTCCTTCCTACTAGTTGAAAGTGGAATTACAACTGTCGGGAACAACCCTGCAGCAGCCTGCTGTAGCTAGCACAAATGCTAACATGACTCAGTTGGTACAAAAATACACCACAAAGTAAAATAATCAACACTGTTGGACAAACAAATACTGTTACTTACAAGTCCAACAAAGCCAGGTCACCATCAGTCCATGATTTCATTGCCTTGTTAGCTCCCTCAAATCAGTGTAGGCTAATGTTCACTTGGGTTTAGCTCTTAGCTCCTTCCTTCTGACTTTTACTTCCAGGCTCCACCATGATGTTTTCCTTTTCCTCTTGTTTTATTTTTTATTTTTATTGAATTGAACTTAAAAAACTAACTGCTAGCCTTTATTTTAGCTACCGGTACAGAAAATAGTTAGCAGTTAAGCATTGAAAGAGTGACCACCAGGGAACCTATGCTGTCTCTGGTCAGCAGGTGGCAGCAGAGCGCTGTCCCGTGTGAAGTTGGTATAGTGTCTACCAACACAATCATTGAACCCCACTTTTAAAAGAATTGGTTAAAGTGTTGAAAAAGTGCTTTAAAATTAAGATTATTGGTTTTCTTTCCTTTTGTTGGCATTCAGGCAATAACTTGTTTATATTTATATAAAACAAATAATCAAATAGCTTCTTGTGACAGTTTGTAACCTGCAAGTTTGTGTGGTCTTTAGGCTCCGCCCATGCCTCCACCTCTACATTAACACCACTCATTACTTTTCTGTCAAACACACCCTTGTTATATAAAACAACCTGCTTCTGTCATCTTTCTCCTTTACCCATTACTAACTGTTCTCCTGCATTCTGTCCCTTTCTTCATCCCGTCTCATTCCTCCATCAGCCCCACTCCTGTTCAATGTCAGCTTGGCTGCTAGCAGCAGCTTTGCAAACATCAGCTGGATTTCTGGAGGGGAGCATGCCGAGTTTTACATTGCATATAAGAACAAACGTAAGCCCCCCTGACCTCTTGTCTCTGGGTGTCGTAGAGCAGAGAAACATTTCTGGTGAGTTGTGCCGTCTTTTCTGACCGTCCACCCCTCTGCACAGGTGAGGGCCACTGGAAGATTTCAGAGGCCCTGAACACCTCTCTGACCTCCCACACCATCGACGGCCTCGAACCTGAGACCGAGTACATTGTGCGGCTCATTCCTATCAGCCGGGTTGATAATTATAGCATATTTGAAGATGTAATCACGACTCCAGGTGAGGAGGCAAACGTTGAGAAACTGAAGAAGAAAGTAGATGTAATTCAGCTCCCTTTGAAGGCTGCAGCTCCCTGGCGCGTCCTTGAGCAGAGACGCTAGCCGAGGCGTGTGGTCCTTTATGGTGTCACCAGAATCTAATTTGGGTCACTAGGAGGAATTACATTTGTTCAGCGTTCTTTGCTTGATTAATTAGACAAGCAGGATTAGCTGTTTAATATTAATATTGGACCATTTCCACCATCTTAGGCGGCTGTGCATCAGATAAGATTTGTCGATGCAAACATTCAATCAAGTGTCCTGATGAAAAGGCCAAGGCGAGTCAAAGTCACAGGGATTTTTTCTTTGTTTTGTTTGTTTGTCGTTCTCACTCTCAGGTCTGGCCAGCGTCCACGGGGGCATATCCACCCAGGGCTGGTTTATCGGCCTGATGTGTGCCATCGCTCTCCTCACACTCATTGTGCTGATCGCCTGCTTTGTCAACAGAAATAAAGGAGGGAAGTATTCTGGTAGGTACTTACACACACACACACACACACACACACATGCACCTTGTCTGAATACTAAGTACCATCTAAAGCTTCATTTTAATTCCATTTTGTTGTTTGTTCATGTGAAACAAAGGATCCATCGTCTTTGAGGCTGTCAGAGGAATATGGAAGACTGTTTATGTTTTATTCTAGACCACAGAACAATTTTGATGCAAATGTCAACCTAAACCCAGCAGCTGTGTTGATAAGAGTGGCTGTTCTACGTTTAAGTTACTTTGCATCATTTTCCTTTTAAGTCAAGAGCAGACCACAGCAAGAGAAAAGCATGCTAATTGTGCTCATGGAGTGTCTGTAGACTGCGACGGACCGGCTCTCTGTCCAGGGTGTACCCCGCCTGATTGCCCATTGACCGCTGGAGACCCCCCCCCCCCCCCCCCCCCCCATGAGTGTCTGTAGAAGGAGTGATGACATAAGCCATGTGATATCTGGGATTGTTGTTCCTCTTACCGAAAGTCCTTATCAGCTTTATTACTCACAGCTAATGGCCATCAGGTTGTTGTTGCTTCACCAGTCAGCAGAAAAACGAGCAAGGCAGGCCTCGCTTTTCTTCATTAAGCTCTCATTATCATCTCCAACAACCTTTCCTGTCTTTGCTTTGAGCTACAATGCTTTTTAATGTGTTCGGATTTAAGTTTACTCAGTTTTTTTGTGTTTTTGCAACAAAACGAACACACAGGTGCTAACTCAAGGCAAAGCTTCCTACTTCAAGGGATTTGGATGTGTGCTTCTGTGTCAAAATTATAATCGGTTTATATCTTATCCGTTGTAAAATAGGTCTGAGCAGCCTCAGTTTAGAGAAAAGGGGGTTGTAATAACTATTTTGAGAGCAGCCATGACCAATTTTAAACCATCTTAAAGCAGCTCCAGTGTTTAAAACATGATGGACAGAGGGGAGCAACACTCCACGACCACTTTCTTCGTTATAGCTCATTATTTTATAAAGTTTATATATTATATTAGTTATATTATATTTTATAAAGTGGGGTTTTATTCAGTTTGGTTCTTTCCTTTGACTTGATGTGAATATTAAAAGATGTCAACACGTCATCACAATTCCTTATAGTCATAACATAACCGAATTACTGCCATCAAACACATTACAGCCAAATGACCACGTTTGTTAAAGAGTTGGCTTTAGTAGGGGGGAAAAACGGAGGACGGCTCCTATTGATGTCCACGTTTCTAACCCTAACCCATTTATCCAAACCCTGGCTGTTCAGGAAGCAGGTTAGATTTCCATTTTACCCAGAAAAACACGTCAAAATGGCTGAAAGTCCTCTTTGAAATATGGTTTCACTAAAATAGAGAAATCAGACAAGAATCTTTTCTTAACCTTTTAAATGATGGACATGATTCATAATTATGACACAGTCAGCGTGGCTGCCAGTTGTCTCCTGTAGAAAATGACTCATCTCCTTTTATCAATCTGTGAGCAGTAAAAGAAAAAGAAGACCTTCATCCAGACGTGGAGTCCCAGGGCATGAATGATGACACTTTCTGTGAGTACAGGTAAGCGAGAACGCCGCCTTTCACCAAGTGAGCGTTTGATTTTCTCGTCCTCTTTTCCGTCTTCTCCTCACTGTAATTTTCTCTGCGTTTCTCTCCTCGCTGAGAAAGACTTCCCACAATCCGCGAGGTTCACGCGGAGCCTCACACCTCTTCTGCTGAAGACATTTGACGGACTGAGTAATCGGAACGTATGTGATGAACAGCAATAGTGAGCTGTTTACACATTGGTGTTGTCAGAGTAGTTCATAGACTGAATGTTGTGTTGGTGTGTGGTGGAATAGTTAAACGGGAGCCACAGCGTTTCTCGTGTGAAGATGGAGCAGAAATCCGGCTGCCCGGCACCCGGCGGGGATCTGAAACCAATCAGTGTAATTGAATGCAGCTCATCTGCAGGACTCTAATATCGGAGCACGTTTCATTAATCCTTTAGTGGTCCTGTTCATAACAGTCTACCACAGTCTAATTCTCCAATCAGTGGGATCTGCACAGCACAACAAATGCTACAGTGATGGAGTTCAGAGAGGCTCAGCGTGGCAGCGTTCGGATCACATCATGTTCACTTCTGGAGCCCATTCACTTTGGTTTCTACAGCACTTTCACCAGTTCTCTCTTTTATTGTTGTTAGCAGGGTTAAAGAGGCAATAAGTAAAAATATACCAGTAAAACAATCACAAACCATTCTAATGTCTCAGTCATGCGACGACATCTTTTTGTTTTAGTCTGATATCGTGGATAAGAAGGTTAGAGGCTAATGTTGAGCTAACTATGCTAAAGGTTAATTAGACACAGTCTTTGAGGATCCTGCCTTGTGAACTGGGCCTTAGACAAAATATTTATCTTCAGACGTCAGGCTAGCAGGCTCATTGTTTCTTATCTTCCTGAAGTTTGGTCATGCCATAAAATTCCGAACATCCCATAGAGCTGCCTTCCCATATCTCCGACTGAATTCATCAAAACTGTTTTGAAATGTGATTTATAAATCACTGCTTTAATATGGCTGGTGTTTATGGATCAGGGTAATGTAACCCCAGTCTATCAATCAGAGACCGTTATGATTCGTAAACCATCTCCTTGCACTGGGATTCCTGGTCTTTTGAGGGCTGCGTGTTTTTGTTGTTTCCGTCCTCCAACACACCTTTTTATTATTTTGATCAGTAGGTGATCAACGACCTTGATGTGCTGCTGAACAGGTGATTCAACCACTAAATCAGGAGTGTTTGAACAGAGAAATACCTAAAACATGCTGTACACCTGCCTTCGAGAACCAGGGTTCCCCATCCCAGGTCTACAGAAACTCAGAATCCAACAGCAGAATTGGACATTAAGTGGTGGAAACATTTTTAAGAAATGGTTTTCTGAGTTTGCTTTCTAGCTGTGGGAAAGAAAAAAAAAACAGCATCTTTAAAGAACCAGTTGAGGAGCAGCTCTGGTCTAGTCTTGGAACGTCTTGGTGATAAAAGACCCAGTGAGTGGTTGTCTCCCGTTGGCTAGCTCAAGGTAAACCCTAACGTCAGCCACTGCCTAGCGAGAGCGTGAGCCTGGAGTCACATCCTCTCCAACAGGCTGCAGAGTAAACCCATAAGTGAATGTGGTGATTCTAAATCCGCTGTGCGTGTCTTTGCAGCGACAATGACGAGAAGCCGCTGAAGGGCAGCCAACACTCCCTGAGTAGGGAGATCAAAGCGGGGGACAGCGGGGACAGCCTGGTAGACTACGGTGATGAAGATGCTCAGTTCAACGAAGATGGCTCCTTTATTGGCGAGTATGGGCCACGGAAGGAGAAGAGGGTATCCGCTGAGATCAAAGCTCCCGTTCAGACTCCAGCATGAGGAGCGGAGTGGCCACCCAGACTCCTCCTCCTGCTCCGGACTCTGATTTTATTACACCTGCTGGAATGAACGGGAGCGAGGAACCACGTTCATATGAGCACATTTGTGTCAAACGTAATGTGTCATTGCCAACTGTCACACTCATTTTATAAAGCTCTGTTTCGTCATGTTGCAACAGTGACCATTACTAAATACCATGTATATATAGTGTATATTGTATGTGCTGAGTGTCTTTTTTTATAATTATTACAATAATTAGAAGACATGATTCCCTTTCTTTTCTGTATTATTTTGTTTTCATTTCCATGGTATAAGCTGCAGCGTTTGTACAGATGTTTAATGTAAAATGTCACACTTTCCATTGTTAAATGAAACTTTGAGATTGCCGTGGAGCAGATATCAAACACGTGGGTGTAAGCTGATATTTTTCAAGTTGAGCAGTTATTACTGACCTTTTCTATTTCAAATGATTCGTTAAATATGATGTAAGATGTGTATAAAAGTTTGCCAATTAACTTATTTTTTCAGTGGTTTTATACCTGAAAAAATATCAAGAAGAGTCGGTCACATATCGTCGCGTTACCGTTTGTGTCACGAGTCAGGACCTTCCTCAGTTCCGTTTCTAAAGCCGGTCTGGGAGCATTTACATCCAGTCTTATTTAGCGTGACTGCCCAGCACTCATCACTGCCGATGCTGACAGAAATGTTGGAACAGGGAATCCATTCCAGGTTCTAATTACCCAGGCCAGTAAGTAAATCGTTTAGCTTTCTCAAAACAGTGACTCAAAATCACTGTTCCAGAACGAGGCTTTAGATTACAAACGACCATCGTTTTAAGTGTTTCTTTCACATTCCAGGAACATTACAAACATCCACAATCAACAGCTTTAGTCGAGTCCTTTTATGGAATATTAAAGGGATAGTTCAGCCTTTTTGAATAAAAGTTGTAATTATTATCAGTTAACCACACGAGCAGCCTTGGTTTACATTTTAATGGATTGTTAAAGGAGACATATCGTAATTTTTCCATTTTGCAACTAAATCATTCAGTTGTGGTTCAAATATAACATGACATCAGTTCTTGGGTCTGATTTCTCCTCCCTTACCATGGTTCTGAGGAGAGTGTGAAAATGACCCATTTGGGTTCTGTCTCTTTAAATCTGAAGGAAGAGCTGCAAGCCCACCCCCATCCACGTTTCAAAGTTCACTCTCCACCCTAGTCAGACATTTTAGTAGTTTTATAGAGAAACAGTTGTTTAGCGTAGCAGAAACGTTATATTTGCATTTTTAAATGTGGAGAGATTTGTCCACCCAGCTGTGTCTCAGAGCTGCCAACTCTCAAGCATTAATAGTGAGACACACGAAAGTGAGGGACAGTTCAGAGAGGCATGTGGATCTAATCACCGGACATTCAGAATTTTTCTAAATGGACTACAAAGAAGATAAAATGGTGGATGAGCTCTGTATATAGCTGCAGGGCTGCCAACTCTCACGCACTGAGTGCCAGGCACTCTGTATAGCTCCAGGCACCAACCCCATGACCCCATCTCACTCTTTGAAATGGTCAAAAGTTGGCAGCCCTGTAGCTGGAAATCAATCACCACAATTACCCCATTAAATGGAGAACAAACAGAAATAGAAAATTGAGAAAACTGAACAGGTCAACATATATGACCAAAACGTTATTCTAGAATTTCTAATTATCACCAAAATGACTAGTTTACTTCTTTTTGCACACCTGGAGACTTAAAATGCTCAACACATTGTATTTAACCCTGCCACTGTCCTAATGGGTGTGACCCCATGACGAAAGTGGACCATTGAGCAGGGTTGATGGTTCATCCCTTGGGTCCATGTGGCAGGAGTGAGGAGTGAGCAACACCTCACCCCTGCCACATGGACCTCAAGGGATAAACCATCAATCCTGCTCAATGGTCCACTTTCCTCACAGGGTCATCCATAAAGACTGTGGGAGGGTTAAAGACTTAAAAAGTGGATTTTTCATGATATGTCTCCTTTAAGCTAATGGCAGGTCTGACTAGTGTCCTAAATCAGCTTCAATCTCCTGAATTTTATTTAGAAAATGATTTTAAAATATCTGCACTGGTGTCAATTTTACATTTTTGTTTTGTCATGTCATACGTATTAACTCAATCACTGCCAGCGGTTTCCTGATTGGTAAAGCCCTTCGCGGCCAGCGTTTCTCATCGTTTTTACTGCTTTTTAAAGAGTCACAGAACGTTGCGTGCTAGGATGATGTCAATGCCAAAACTACGAAAAGAAAGAGTAGACTCACCTCTTACGCCAGGAAGAGTCGGCGTGTTTCAAGTGTTATCCGTTCTTTCATAATCCGTTGTCGAATTGTGATCGGCAGAAGCTTTTCCGGTTCACATCTCACTTTTTTTACAGCAGCGACCCAAAATGATCTAACACATGGATTTTCTGCTTCCTGAACACGTGATGTGTGACGTATGTGGATGAAGATTGGCTTTAGAGCTGAGATGTTTGTTCTCACGGTGCGGGGGCTCGTTCCGATGCCCACACAGTAAAAAAATGCATATTACGACTTTAGTCGTCAAAGGCAGTGAACGAGTTAAGAAATTCATACTGAATCCATGTATGCACATTTAGCTCCTTTTAGTTATATTAGTGCTTGTCAATAAAACACATAATTCTGTGTAATGTGAAACCCATTTAAAAATGTATAAACTGCAATTAAATGTTGGTCCCAGTTCTGCTCAGACTAGCCATTAGCTCATCAATCCTGCTAACCTGTAAAAACTGATTTCTAAGAAACTTTAAAAAAAGACAAAATTTTAGACATTTTATTTTTAGTTTGAAAAGAAAGTGAATTCTCCAGAAAAATAGCATTACTTAAAATGTTAATATTCTTAAATATGATCCAAAGTTTCTTGTTTTAAGTAAAAACAATCTGCCAATGGGGTAAGCTAAAGTTGATTAGCTGTGTCTTAAAACTAGCTAATGAATCAAAATGTAGACTTTTGCTAGTTTTAAGAACTCTAGCCAAGTAATTTTTGCATACTCCATTTTTACTTTCTTAGAAATCAGTTCTTGATGTGTATTCCTCTAAACAAGACATTCAGAAAACTATCTAAAACAAAGTACTGAAACAATTGCAGCCTGCAAGCAAGACAATCCTGAAAACCCTCTGTGTCCTCCTTGCAGAGACATGCTTCAGTTCTGCTAAGATCTGTGTCCCCACTATTTTAACTCTGGTTTTAAATAAAAGTGACTTTGGGCCATGAAGGTGGAGTGGCGCATGATGCTCTCCAGGATGTGTAATTTGTCTTAAGGTAGGTTGCTCTGTAAGGTCCACCTCAGATGCATAAAAATATATTCTAATAATCAATAGATATGTTTTTATAGCAGCATTTAACAACAAATGCATTTCAATGTAATTCAGAAAAAAGATCCACATCTGTACCATTGCACATACCTTCTGTTTAAACCTGACTTATTGTAAAACACCATGAATCCTTGTTTGTTTGTAATCACATTACACATCTTTCATCTGATCTATTTGTTCAAAGTTAAATCTACTTGTTAAAGTTAACTTTAACTTGTTCAATATGTAAAAATCAACTATTATTTCACTGCCCTGCCATTCACAACTCAGCTGTTGTGTCTTTAGTATTAACCCTAAGTACCCTAACGGCAGTGTTTTGTAAGGCTTTATTCATTGCATGTTGCAAATGTTAATTGGTGTTTACCTTTTTTTTCATGCAATTAAATTTCTTTACTTTCCTACACTGTTTTCGTGTTTGCTTTGTGCGATCACAGCTGTCGCTGTTTGAAAAATAATAACACCATCATCATTTATTGCATGTCAGATATTAACATGGCTGAATACATCTATGGGCCATAAAATCTAAAGTTCGACCTAAAACAACTACTTTTTACACATTTTCTTCACATTTACTAATCTTTACTCCTGATTAGGATTGTAGGGCTCATTAATTTGGGAATTTTTTAAATACTTTGTCTAAATGTTCAAACATGCACACAGGAATGGGTGGACATCAAAGTCCAAGTAAAAGTGTGGTGGTTTTGAACTAATCTTTTAGCTAAGAAAATGAAAATGAAATAAATAATTCTCTATAATTCAATTAAATTCAAAAATAATTTATTAATCCCAGAGGGAAATTGATTGCTGTAGTAGCTCATACTACTAATAATAATAAAGTTGTCAAAGAGTTATCGTATATTACAATGGCTGTTGGCAGGAAGGATCTCCAGTAACGGTCAGTCTTGCAGCCAAACTGAAGAAGCCTCTGACTGAAGACACTCTTCTGTTGTCGGACAGTCTTGTGAAGAGAATGTTCAGGGTTTTCCGTAATTTTCTTGATTCTCTGGAGAATCCTTCTTTGCATTATCTCCTCCAGTGGTTCCACAGTCGACCCCAGAACAGAACCAGTCTTTTTTATTAGACTGTTGAGCCTTTTCAGGTCCCTGCTTCTGATGCTACTACCCCAACAGACGATGGCTGAAGAGATTACACTCTCAACAACAGACTTGTAGAAGATCTGCAGCATCTTGCTACAGACATTGAAGGACCTAAGTGTCCTCAAGAAGTGCAGTCTGCTGTGTCCCTTCTTGTAAACGGCTTCGCTGTTCTTTCTCCAGTCCAGTCTGTTGTCCAGGTGGACTCCAAGGTATTTGTATTCCTCAACCACCTCCAGTTCTTCTCCCATGATGGAAACAGTGTTTGACTCCGCCCTGTTTCTTCTGAAGTCTAAAATCATCTCCTTTGTTTTGTTCATGTTCAAGGTCAGATGATTGTTTCCACACCATGCCACAAAGCACTAGCCTAGTGAACTAGACCAAATTCTTGCTTTGCAAAGTTTGGTCTAGGCACGCTCCACTGGAACCTCTGCAGCCCCAACAGCATGCTGGCTGGCCAATCACAGCTCTCTAGAGGGGTTTCAAACACATAAACAGCTGTGATTGGTCCATAATGGTGGGCCAATTATAGTGCTCTATCTGCTTAGTGAACAAATCACAGAGCTTTATCCGCTTTGTGGGCCAATCAGGGCACTCTAATGCCTGGTGGGTGGGATGATGCAACAGAGTGAAACAAGAGTATGTCACATTCATTGTCCAGTGGAATGTGGAGATCATTTGAAAGACAACGGTAGAACCCGCCCCACAACCGAGAGCCGTCAATGGAGTGTTGCCAGACTAAATAATACATTTATTTCGTCTGGCTTGCCGGGCTAACAAAATGTTCCACCAGCTCTCTGTACTCAGCTTCCTGTCCATCTCTGATACACCCGACAACTGCAGAGTCATCGGAGTATTTCTGTAGATGACAGGTCTCTGATTTGTACTGGAAGTCTGAGGTGTACAAGGTGAAAAGAAATGGTGAGAGTACAGTCCCCTGTGGCGCTCCAATGTAACTGATCGCCTGGTTTGATGTGCAGTTCTTCAGCCTCACAAACTGTGGTCTGTTTGTCAGGTAGTCTTTAATCCAGGTGATAGTTGAGGCTCCCACCTGTGTCTTCTGGAGTTTCTGGCAAAGTACATCAGGCTGAATTGTGTTAAATGCACTGGAGAAATCAAAGAACATGACCCTCACAGTGCTGCTTGCTTTGTGCAGATGACAGAGGATTGGTTGAAGCAGCTGGATGATGGCATCTTCAACTCCAACTCCATGGCGATAAGCAAACTGCAGCGGGCCCTGATATACTCTAGTTTGCTTATTCAGGTGGACCAACAGGAGTCTCTCCAGGACCTTCATGATGTGGGATGCGAGGGCAACCGTTCTGTAGTCGTCATTGACTGATGGGCGAGTTTTCTTTGGAAATGGAACAAGGCAGGATGTCTTCCACAGGACTGGAACCTTCTCCTGGGCCAGGCTGAGGTTGAAGAGGTGCTGCAGAATCCCACAGTGCTGCTCTGCACAGGCCTTCAGTACTCTGGGGCTGACACCATCTGGACCTGCAGCCTTGTTCCTGTTCAGTCTCTCCAGCTGCCTCTTCATATGACTTCTAGAGACAAATAGGTGGGAGGGGGAGGTAAATGGGGCAGCAGCATCTCCTGACTTGGTTGAAGACAGATTTATAGAACCAGAGGAGTCCATGACTGCATTAGAGGACAAAAGAGCTGGAGTGTGACAGGAAAATGTTGGATCAGAGGAAGATGGGATGTCTGATTGGCTGGGGACAGGCGAGGAGGATGCTGGATTTGTTCCTGAGCTGAACTTATTGAAGAACTTGTTCAGTTAATTGGCTGTGTCCAGGCTGCCATATGTGCAATCCTCCTTCTGCTTGAAGCCTGTGATCTTCTTCATCCCTGACCAGACATCTCTGATATTGTTCCTCTGTAGTTTGTTCTCCAGCTTCTTCCTGTATGCCTCCTTGCTGTCTCTGCACCTCCAGATATGTTTGTCCGGTCCCGGGAAAACGTTGGAGGAAAAGAGGTAAACGAGCAGGAATCCAGGTGAGGATAAGACTTCTCTTAAAGCGTGGTTTATCTATAAAACATCGGCGCAATCTTCTAGCTTCTTGTCCTTTGTTTGGTGACCTGAGCACCACTTCCACATTCCGGCCAGGCCGCGTTGTGACGCGGTTCATCCGTCCAAGTTTTTTAAGGTTGGTTTATCCTCATTCCTCAGTGGTTTCTCCTCCTGACTAAGTGGTTTTTATAAGCACCGTGGATCTAACCCTGCTAATTTACATCCACTAACTCCAGCTGTTTCTGTAGTTTCTGATTCCTCCACCTCACTCAGCATGGCTCTGTTAAATACCCGCTCTGTTAACAATAAGATCTTCCTGCTCAATGATCTAATTCTCTCTAAAAACCTGGATTTTCTGTTTCTGACTGAAGTTTGGCAGCAAACTTCTGATTATTCTTGTCTGATTGAACTCTGCCCGAGTGGTTATTCTTTTCTTAGCCAGCCCCAGGGTTCTGGTCATGGTGGAGGCCTAGCTGTTGTTTTCAGAGACCATCTTCCATGTAGCTCTACAACCTCTGGTCACTTTGCTTCCTTTGAACTGCAGCTGATTAAAGTCGGGCGTAAGGACCCGTTCTACTGTGCTGTGGTTTATCGTCCACCTGGTCCAAACAGTTCTTTCCTTCAGGAGTTTAGTGACTTTCTATCCTCCACTGTGAAGCTGTCCAGACTGGTGATTGTTGGTGACTTTAACATCCACGTTGATGATCCCTCTGATCACTTTGCCATGAATTTCTCCAGCCTTATGGACTCCTTCAGCTTTACCCAGCATGTTTCTGGCCCCACACACACACCAGGGGGCACACTCTAGACCTTGTTTTTACCCTGAGTCTAAATGCTGACAGTGTTTGTCCTGAGGACGTTTATATTTCACATCACCATTGCATTTTCTTTAGCTTGTCAGTTTCTGCGTCCCCACCTCCTGCTCACCGTATGGTCAGTGGTGGGCAGTCAGGGCCAGCAAAGCCTTCTCTGCTGGCCTAAACATACTCAAAAGCGTAAATGTATTTTTTTTTCCTTTGGTAATTATTTTTAAATAAAAAAAATGTTTACTGGTCTATTTTCTTTATATCCTATTATACCCACTTGGCTGTGCTGCTTCCAGTGTTAAAATACCAAGGCTGGGTGTTATCCAATCAGATTTAAGCTAGCTTGTGTTTTCAGGCAGATTAGTCTGCCCTAGGCCTTCAGAATCAATCGAGAAGCCCACTGTCCGCTGTAAGTGAACAGAGACGATCTAGTTGCGATAGCCAATCAGCTCACGAGTCAGCTTGGCCCGGGCCAGCTAGCTGGCCTCACGCAAAAGTTGACATGAACGCATCCTGTGATTGGATAAGCAGTAGTTAGAACTTTTCTAGCGGCATGAAGCAAAATATCAAAACTAAACACGGAGATTGTACCTATAGGCAGCTATCGGTGTGTTTTTGAACACATGATGGCTGAAAGAGGAGAAGAGACAGACTTGGTTGCAGATTTACTTGCCACACCATTTTCAAGACGGACCTTTCAAGAAAAAATGGATCTTGTGAGAACAGGTCGTCCGACTCCAATGCTAGCTGGCTTGTCCCAGGAGGGGAAAGGATTTGTTCGTCATTTTCAGGCAAGCAACTATGAACGGTACCCATGGCTAACAGCTTCAGAGAACCGCTGCAGGTTATTCTGCTGGGAATGCCTGTTGCTCGCATCAGATGGATTTGGTAGCATTAAAGCGCGTTAAAATGTACGTCAGAAACACGACCGGACAGACACGTCTTTCAGCATTAGCCTCCATGTCCGTAGAAAAGGATGCACTCATGGACCTGAAACACACAGATAAACTGTACAGAGCCATTGAGGTTTTCCTGAGGAAAGAAAGAAGGATGGATTTTATTTTCAAATGAGCAGGAGAGGAGGAGATCCATGCTGGACATTTATGTTGGTGAGTAGAAACATTTTATTAGTATTTTTTAATGTTTTGCCATTTTATTTTGTTAATAATAAATGGTAATGAAATAAAATGGCAAAATGAAATAATTCTATGTGTTCTGTTTCTATGCAATTTATATTGTGTATGACGTGGTGTGTGCAGCTGCGCCAACATGTTCAATTGTTTCGCGGTGCCATTTTCTCCAAAACAAATGCAAATAATGTTTTCTTTACTTATTTATTTTATTGTCTCATCTCTTAAACCCGTCTTTCATTTCTGAGATTTGACGGTATCCGTGGTCAGCTTCCTACTCTCAACTGGGAATGCGAGTTTGATTTTAAAGACTCTGGAAATTATGTGTCTTGACCAGCCACTGGTGTGTGTGTGTGT